CTTTCCCTTTAGTTGTTTGATTTTTGAACAAGCCATTCATTTTCTAATTAGGCAGTGGCCTCATTTAATTATGTTTAGATAAACATCAGCCTGCAAAGCCACATTAGTATTATTCATGCCATTATCATCTTCCAATTCTAGGTCAACAACAGGACTATGAGAGCCTTCCTGTCGACCCACCATGATATCACTAACCAGCACAATGGGATCACCCACAATAGGAACATCATGCAAGTAAGAAGGATTATTTAAATTCTCATCCATATTTCCAACATTCACGGGATTGATATCATTATTTATGACAATACGAAAGTTGATTGAACAGAAGGAGGATGACCCTCAGAAGGGGCACTATTTTTTTTTTAAGTGAGGATGTACATGATAGCAATGAGAGTTAGAGTGGCCAATCATACGATAATTGGAGCAATAAAAGGAATAGTGTTCTATTGCCACCCGTTGCCAATATCCTTGATGTTGCGAACCTATACAAATTTCCTCAGGAGCAAGTAGAGTAATGTCCCTTTCAATAAGCACCATTAGCTTATTGTTGGGATAGACTAACAATAGGGATGCCCATTTTGAGAGGCTTATCATAGACAGCGGCGATGGAGTACAACAATTCTTGAATGAAAAGAGAAAATTTCAAACCTGGAAAGCGAATCCATACTGGAATGGTTGGAGGTTCAGTCTGTGGGTCGAAATCCACAGTTCACTTTAAACTTTCATCACATGATTTTCAATCCAGATTAATCTCCTAGCAAATAAACGTGTGTAATCCTCATCATTGATAAGCTGAATAAGTATATGTCGCCCATCCAAAAGCCCAATTTTCCAATCCCCTACAAGATGCATTAGCTCGGTTTCCTTGTGTATAACCTCAAGCTTAGGATGACCGTAAAGAAATTTACCGACCAAAGCGAGACGACAAGAAGAGACAAGAGTACTCCATTTGGCGTCAGATATGAAGATAGGTGGCTTCCCATTTTTCTGACCAGCCTTTTTAATAAAGCGAAATCACCATCAAAAGACAAACCATCATGAAAAGATTGCGGGAAAATAAAAGATTTTGGAGTAACAGAAGCTTTGTCACCGGCAAGGGCCTCAACAAAAGTCAGATCCAAAGCCCTTGCCTGAAAGCGAGAATCCCAACCGAAACTATGCAAATCGCCAAGAACGAAGAAAGCTATAGCAACACGAAAAGCGTCATTATATATATATATATA